TAATTTTCAATACCTTGATCAAATGCCAAATCACTAAAAAATTTAATTATCTTCAGACATTTCCAGGAGAAGTGGCTTTCCAAAAGTCTGCAGTAGAAGCATTTCCTGACACCCTTAGGTACCTTCTGTTTATTTCTCTCATAAAACTTAAAATCACTGTCTTTGAGATTACTTGTGTCTTCCCAAGAGACTGTGTTATTAAATGCAGAGACTATTCCTATTTTTGTGGATTCCCAGCACCTGAAACTGGGTCTAGCATATATTAGATGCTCAGCAAACTCTGTAGGAGGGAGAAAGGGAAGAGAGGAAGAGAGGGAAGAACAGACACTAGTTTATAAATCTAGTTGGCCTAGTTTTAAAACTATCCATTGTGTAGCAAAGAATACTGGTTAGGAGCCTGAACTCTGGTCAGACAGAACTGGATTATCAATCCCTGACCCCACCCATAACCAACTGTGTGGTTTAATCAGGTTACTATCCTATTTAATCATAGTCTTCATCTGTGATATATGAATAAATAGAATTGATATGAGGATTAAATTAACTAATGCTTATAAAACTTAACACAGTGTCTGGTCCGTAGGAAGTGTTTAAGACATTTTAGTTTTATTTATATTTTGCACACCATAAAGATGGGAAACACAATGCAAATAACAAAGATGACAAAGGTGAATTCACTTATTGGGAGAGTATGGAAATCTTTCCATTATTTTCCCACTTCTGGGTTCCATTCATTCCCCACCCAACTTTGATTCCTCTAAACACAACTCCTGTTCTAATAGTTAGAGGTTTCTGCAGGTATCATGCTTTGAAAAGTTATCTGTCTCCCATTTACTCCTAACCTAGAATTCTAGCCAATTAGGACACAGAGCAAGAGGCTATTTGTACTGGAGTCTGAAACAAAGTTAACTTGTACATTTTTAAGTTCTACGTAGGTGCTCAGTAAACAGTGAGGACAGAGGGTACGTACAATAGGCATATATGACTTTGGGGCCATTAACTTACTTACAAATTAACTTACTCTCTCCCTTAGCGCCAGAGTTGTCCTTCGGCTCACTGTGAATGCAGCTAAGAGTCTTGGTCAAAGGCTTTCTCATCCAAATTCTGTAGCATCACAAGGAGAAAGAAAAGTCCGCAGGTACCCAGGAGATGCTGTGTTCTGTTTCTGTCCTAAGTAATGAGCTCCCATGAGCCTTCTAAGTTGCTTCCTCCATTAAAAACTCTTGCCAAAAATGTAAGGAACTTTCTCCACTGCATTGGTCAAGTGTGGGGGGGCCCCTTGGGAGAGGACTTTTCAGAAGGAATTCTCTTGTTTTTTATGGTTTCTGGAGGTGGATCACTCTGGGTTTCCTATCTAATACTCATCCTTTAATTTAACAAGGTCTATGATTTACTAAGCACTTTCTATGTGTCCTGAACTATTACAAGCACTTTTATGTATTCTGTGATTTGTTTTCAGGACCTCAGTTGAATTGGACTAATCAGAATCATTATTTCAAGAACCACTATGAGCATTGCTTCATTCATGACCTATCTGGTTTTTAACTAATTAATCAGTTTCATAATGAATACTAGTAAACGAACACCTGACCCAAGGATTGTTGTTGGTGCTAGTTGCCATCGAATTGGTTCTGACTCATATGATGACACTATGTACAACAGAAGGAAACACTGTCTGGTCTAGTGCCATCCTCACAATCATTGCTGTGCTCTAGACCATTGTGGCTGCCACTGTGTCAGTCTGTCTCACTGAGGCTCTTCCTCGTTGCACTGACACTCTACTTTTCCAAGGGTGATATACTTCTCCAGGAGGGACTGCTCCCTCTTGATTAAGTGTCCAAAGTACGTGAGAAGATGTCTCACCATCCTCTCTTCTAAAGAGCATTCTGGCTATACTTTTTCCAAGACAGATTTGTTTGTTCTTCTGGGAGTCTATGGTACATTCAATATTCGTTGCCAACATCATAATTCAAAGAGCATCAATTCTTTGCTCTTCCTTACTCATTTACTAGCCTTTGCATTCATATGAGATGATTGAAAATACCATGGTTTGGGTCAGGCTCACCTTTGTCATCAAAGCGACATCTTTGGTTTTTAACACTTTATAGAGGTTGTTTGCAGCAGTTTTCCCCAGTACAATACATCGTTTGATTTCTCGACTGCTGCTTTCATGGGCGTTGACTGTGGAGCCAAGTAAAATGAAATCCTTGAATCTTTTCTCCATTTATCATGGTGTTGCTTATAGATCCAGTTGTGAGGATTTTTGTTTTCTTTATGTTGAGGTGTAATCCCTACTGAAGGCTAAAATCTTCTATCTTCATTTGTAAGTGCTTCAAGTCAGCTTTGCTTTCAACAAACAAGGTTGTATCATCTGCATATCACACATTGGTAATGTCTTCCTCCAACCCTGATGCCACATTCTTCTTCATACAGTACAGCTTTTCAGATTATTTGCTCATTATAGAGATTGAATAAGTATGGTGAAAGGATACAACCCTGATGCACACCTTCC